ACGAGCCACAGCCCGGCTGATCAGGAACTGACTTTAGGTGCTTGTCCAGTGCCAGCTTGAAGACTGCCAGGGGTCTGTTGGTAATCCCCCTTATGTGTGCTTCTATCAGTATATATTTTTGTGTATATACACTCGAGTTTATTATTTTAGGGGCTAAAACATTATTGATGTTAGTGGAGAAGTGAACGTGCAGTCGATAGGCCTTAAACCAAACTAATTAAACGAGGGTCACTCAATGAGTGGGTCGGCGCAGTGGCTACTCTTGCGGGAGCAAAGGTGACTCTTACATCAGTATGAGTGTCCCTTTCCTCTGCCCTATCACTGCCTCTTGAGTACAAAGGTGACACTGGCATCAACTTCAGTCTGCCCTGCCGTCGCCTCGTCAGTCTATCACTGGTCTTGCTACTGGTAACTCCGCTCTTCCATCATCAAATTTTTCCACTACTTAAGGTGTTTCTTTTGTAAGGAGGTAATATATTTGACTTATTTTTTCCTGTAATATGTTTGCTTGGGCTGAAAGGTGCTCGAGCCTGCATAGTGCTACAATGTTCATATATTTTGATCAGTGGAACGCACAAAAGCCGTAAGGGTCATACAGCACCTAATGAATGGAGGTAATTAGGATCGACTCAGAGAAGGGAAGAATGCAGTTCCTTGAATCAAGAGCCCCACGCCGGCATCAAGGCATTTATATCTTCCTTAAGAAGGGTACATAGTGTACAAAATATGTACGAGTGAACTTTGACTTGTGATAGTGCGTACTCTCGACTTTTCCGTACGTAATACCAATGACTAAGGATGCAAAAAGTAAAAGAATGAGTTTACTAAAAGCAAATGTAAATATTTATTGGATAAGGTATTTTATCTAATGCTGATATTAGATTTTTGATTGATTTATTAACAATATCAGTAAAGTTGTCAAAATTGTGTAAATAACGTCAAATAATATTGGTAAAAGTTATTATTTTAGCAAAATTTAATAATAATGCAATTTGATAAGATTTCGTTACAACTTCCTATTTAAAGTCTTTGGAACAAGTGAAAGACTACATGTACTGCTACATTAGGTTTTTATATGCCATTTTTTTTGGTAATTTTCTCAAATAATTTATAAGCATTGCAGAACTCTGAGTCTGGTGTGAATGAATAGGTGCATTTCAATATTTTAGCCATGATTAAAATGGATCAGAGACTGAGATAAATGCGAATCGTGATGTGAAGGAAAATGTTCTTGTGGAAAAAATATTACCAGCGGGGTGCCACAAGGATCTGTATTTGCTCCTATAACGTTTTTAATTATATAATTGAAGTAACAAGGTATAACAAACTGCACGAATTTGTTTGGAGATTATGTAAAATCTTGTGCAAAATAAATAATAAAAATTACTGCAAATCTTCACAAAATGACATGGACAAACTGAACAGATTGACTGATGGATGATGAAATTTAAAGTTAATGTTATGTAATAGAAATGAGAGGATGCTAAATCAAACCATATAAATAATATAGTTTGTTAAAAAAAACGGGATTATACAAAAAAGGGCTATAGGAGTTAATACAAAATTGTCACCAGATCATATAAATGAAACTGTGAAAAATCCATGCTACACTGGCTAACTGGATAATAGCTTTCACACTTATGGATAGGGAGAGGCTGAGAAAAACTAATTTACAACATGAATTAGGCCAATATATATATATATATATATATATATATATATATATATATATATATATATATATATATATATATATATATATATATATATTGTGGCAGCTTTGTGGTGTCCACACCTAAAAAAAAAGGTGGATTAGATGGACAAAGTTCAAGAGTTACACAATGGACTCCAGGGCTAAAAAAAAAACTGATAGGAGGAAAATATGATTACAATATATATGGTTATAAAAGGACTTGAAAGTAGATAAAGCATATTTTAATACTCCGAGGATAGGTCTGTTCTTGTAGCTACAAAGAGGTAATTACACTTACTACTCTTCCATACAGCCAAAGGCAACATTAAGCTCATTACCGATATACTGAAGCAAATATATTTTATAATAGTAAACCTTATGTTCATAGTAAACCTTAATAAATTATAACCTAATGATGATACGTATGAAAATTACATATACATTATATTAGCAGAACCTGTCCTTAGTTGAATAGTACTTATCTAAATAAATTGTGGAAGGTGTAAATTTTATAATGAAATACTTGTATAACTCTTCATAATCATCCAGATCAGATCATTTTCAAACCAATGATGCGTAACTCAAAAATATGTAAATATTGCCTCCTCATAAAATCCGTTCATGGGCTATGTTTATGTTATCAGTTAGGCTGAACTGGTAATGAACCATATACTAGCATTATTAACAAACTGTATCTCTTAGAACGGGGAAAAACAAACCTATAGCGAGAAGACGATCAGTCAGTTACGAGTCATATAAGGTATGTAGGTAGGTATAATGTCTGTCAGGAAACAGGGCAGGTGTTGCCTGACGCGGGTTCTAGTTATATGATGACCAGCAGCTGGAGCTTTTGGTCATCTGACCGAGGTCTTTCGCTGGCTTAACGGTACACCCCTTTCAAAATTATGATTTTGATTATAACCATTGAGTTCTTGATTTACCAGTTATATAAGAAATGCACCAAGTTTTTATTTAGGCCTCTTAATTTGAAACTTAAGGACTGGTTTTATATAGTAAATTATGTAGAACTGAACCTAGAGTATCCAAAAAAGTCAGTTACTTATTTTCTCTTGGGTCCTTTGTTGTATAGTCACACAGTTTAATTTTACACCTACCGACTTCTCCTATGCCCTTAGTTATTTTTAAAGTGTTTTCTGTTAGTTATTTATCCTAACGTACATATTCTCTTGGACCTACGTCCAGGATGAATCTAACTTTTTTCGTGTAATTTTTAGTCTGACGTTTTATAAAAGCTAGACATAAGATCTTGCTGCAGGTAGCCATCGTGCTTGTCTGTAAAAGGAACTTTATCCTTTCATTTATTTTTTTTATTACACATCACCATCAGTTCACCTGACATGCATAGATCGAAGTTATTATTAAGATGTGCTCCTTGTTACACAGAACTGTGTAACAAGGGGGAAGGGGAGTTGTGAATTCCCCCTTTCCACAGTAAACGCATACGCTACCCTACATCAGTATGTCTCATGCGCCCCATTTCCCGCAAGGATGATGTGGAAAATACTGTATATATTTTCCAGAAATACAGTAGTTATATGTAAATAGATGGCCATACTGTATTTAATAAAAATTATATTATCGAAAATGGGAAGCTGCGCCTGCGCAGAACATTCACCATCATTGTTTGAATTGAACAGAACGTTAGTGATTAATGTGAAGAATTTTCGTGCTCTAGAGGTTAAAACTGGGCTGACACGTCTCAGATAGGAGGCGAAATTGTTGGATGTGCATTCCTGCATAATTTGAGTATCAGGCGACAGGACAGGAAAACTCCAGGAACCTCAGATAAGCTGTCTAATTTATGTTTAAATTCTGGCCAGTAAATTTTTCATAAATGTAAGCAAAAGGGGGGGGGGGGTCCTGTACATGACATTCATCTCCAGTCAAATTGGTGAGCGATATGAAGATATATTCCTTCTGTTATATAAATGTGTTTATATATAATCATTTTTTAATTTAATATGCAGTCCACAAATTTTTATTTACCAGAATTCCTGGTGATGTATCTTTTATTTATAATTAATAGGTCCAGAGCAACTTGTGGATATGACAGTGGTAGGTATCGAAGGGGGACATTTTTTTTGCGACCTAGGTGTCCCAAATTCCTACTTGTCTAACTGATAAATAATAATTATCTTTGTTCATTTACTGTTATGTACATAATGATACATTCAGATAAATGTAATTTTCCACATGACAACCCAAACAGGGTGTTTGCTGAAAAGAAACTCTTATTTAGCCTATTGATACAGATAGTAAAATGGGTGATTCTAGTAACTAGAAAATTTTCCCCAGTCCTGTAGCTAACAATTATTTGCACTTTAAAGTTTACCGTTTTGGGCCAGATAGTATTGCTTCCGTTTTTCCATTTACTGAAAAGCTCAAGTACCAGTAATAGTCCTTTAGCTATTCCCATGAGTATTTTCATGACAATGGCATATGCCTGTAATGTAATAAGCGTACCAATTACATAACCGAGGAAGAGAACTGGGCGCAAGATACCTCGTGAACTCCACATGTTATCGCCAAGGGTTCTGAGTCTGTAAGGTTGACCATGACATTGTTGTCTGATGCTTTTGATTTGATTCAATTTAGTTCCTTTTGTACAAATCCATACCTGACGGCTTTGTTAGTATAGCAGGCTTTAGTGTTGTAATTAATATACCTTGAATTTTACTAATGATGCCCGTATAGTGTAACTAGGCTAATGTATTGTAGCCAAATATAGTTATGTTAAATATAGTGTTGTGAGCACAAGGCACTACTTTACATATAAACTACGTAGTTTTTATGTATAAAAAGGTAAAAAATAAATGCAGCTTTTAGACAATTTAAGGCAGGTTTAAAGTAATCGTACTACTGTACAGGTGAAGTGCGGCCATAATGACCCTATGTGCAGTTGATATGCTCTTAACCTATCACACCGCATTCCTCTTATACTTGAACTAATTTATTTGACAATAAATTATTAGACTGCCCTTTCTGTAAAGGACAGATAGTAGTAGCTATGTGATTAATCTTTGGACAATTGTTGATTAAGAACTTGAGGGCGCTGATAAGCATCTGATATAAATGCTTCGGGTGTCTGGTTGTCAAGGGCTTATTCCTGGTGTTCGCAGGATACCAGCAAGAATTTCTTAGTGTACAGCTATTTAAGAATTGTCCCAACAGTTTACTGTCTTTACGCTTTGTTGGGGCCGGACATATATCAAGCAGCCTCAACGACTTCATACAGGTGTGTATACACCCAGACGCGTGTGTAGTTAAGTGTTTATATGCTAGGTCTTTTTTTGTATTACAGTACACTTGACTGGTGATATCAACTGTTACCCTTCCCATCGATCGAGGCTATTTACCATCATATCCCAGGAGCTGTATGATGCTTACGTGCTTGGCGCTTCCCCATGAAGATAATAATAGTAAACAAAAATTCGACGACGCAGTGAAATATATTTTAGAAATACGCTACCTTTTGTCAGTTCTTTTATGCATCTTAAACAACAATGGTATGCAATACATATGCTGGACAGTGTTCGAGCCATCTTGATCCCTTGACTGTCTTGTTTTTGCAGTGTGCAAGAAAATGGCAGATGCACAGGCAAGACCACAAGGCCAACAGCAGCAACAAGGCCAGAAGTTGGCCCTGGCAGAACTAAGAACTGTGAAATGGGTGGCTTCGCAACCTCTTGTGAAGGAGGCTTTCACTGTCGTCAAGCCACGGTACATCTCACTAAAGCAAGTCGCCATACTAGGCTGGTTCATCGTCTTCTATGAGGTAAACACAAAGCATCATGCATGTCTTCACCTTTTTCCCAAAGTTCCATTTTTTTTCCACCTAGAAGCTGTTACCCTACTTCTGTACATTTAAATGCCTGACATAGGCAATATCTTAATGATTGCTTTGTATTCCAGATCATTATATTATAAAGAATTAATGTTTGCTAAATGTTATATAATACATACCATCTATCTAGCTTCGGAAGTCAGTCACAATTAAGTAATTATTCTTATATTTATTTTTTACTGAGCTACCCTACACGAAATTGTTTATTTTAGATACACGTAATGATTCATAAGTATTATTTTAAGACATTTGGACCGAAAACAAAGATAAATGAACTTTGTGTATAATAATTGGTTTAAATGCAGAGAGGAGTAGGAAGGAAAAATATGCTAAAGGAATACTTCATACTTATAAATATAAGTAACACTGAACACGACTGAACAGAAGCAAAATTAGAATTACTAATTCGTTTAAGTGACAGTTCATGTGAGATATTTACCTCGCAGTCCACGAAATTGCAGAGATGATCAGCTGTAATGAATGTAGGTGTAGACATTTGAAGGAAAGACTGGGAACCGTGCTCTTACCTTCACCACTATACACATCCACAGCCACCTGCTTGCTGGTGTTTCTTTTATCTTGTGACTTGTAGCTAACAGCTGACACTTTTAACATTCAAATTTGTCCATTCGGTCAATCATTGCTTTTACAATTACCGAATTCCTTTAGGGACCTCTGATAAATGTTAACCCTTTTGATAATAATTAAATAGATTTAATTTATGCAAGTTATTTTTAACTTCGGGTAATAATATATTTTTAGATATATTAGTGTGAACTGTATACACCAGTACTTCGTAAATTTTAAGACACCCCTCTTCTGCTACCATACGTGGTAAATATAGAGATTGATGTCACATACTTATGCAATTAATATTTTTCTCTCTCCAAAACTAAGCGTTAAGAATTGTGTATATATTTAAAATGGTGATTTATTTACATAGATGGTGTTCGTGTGGTGGTGGACCTTCGCACACAACCTGCCATGGCCAGGACTGATGCTCTCCATGCTGGATCAGACTGACTCCTTGCTTGTACGTCTACTGGACTTCGCACAACAGAGGCTGGAGTGGGTTAGTGGACAGATAAACACTCGGGTCCTGCCCTCTCTTACGCCATACATGAGCAGGCTTGGGGAAAACAGGCTGCTCAGTAGCGGCAAGAAGAAGTAATGGGAGTTAAGGGCAGGACCAGCCCGTAGCTTCAGTGCTGTCTTGTATATGTGTGTGGCACGTCAATCATACTCCTGTATTGGCATGTAGTTCTGTGTAGTGCTAACCCCTGTGTTGTATACTTACACGACCTCAGTGGGATTTTTGTTCGCAAGTGGAATGTGGTTCGGTCTTTTTAACTGCCCCATTAGGTTAAGACTTCAGGGCAGCGAACAACTTTATTATAACACTTTCCTAATTATGGCACCATCTGAGCTTATATTTTTTTCATAGCAGTTTATTCCCCAGTTAGTGTTTTAAAATTTACAAAAGAAAAAATATTGACGAAGCTTTATTGAGCGACTAAAATAATTTT